ATTTGCAGGATCAGGGTCAGCGACTTTGAGAATTTTTTATCATTCGAATCAATTGATATGAGATAAATTGATAAATGTATAATTGAGATAAACTTCAAATCTATAAAAAATTAGCAGCAGATTTAGTATTGATGAAAAGTGGGAGGTGATTCCAAACTTTTGGCCGGCAGTGTATGTGACTGTAAAGTTGTCATTATGACTCTTGACTTTTCCATTTTGAATGGCATCATTAATCACGCAGATCTCTTATTGATCGATCTGACTTATCCTTTCTTCATTCACTGTCGATGCAATCTATTGTGTCCAATAGAGTAATAATACTAGATTCGTACAATAAGAACGATTAACTTTATTATATATTATATGATATGCTTGTATTGTACATTTTTGTAATAATAAATAAAATCAGTTTCAGATATCCGTCTTTTTACATTTTCCCTCAATTTTAGTATATTACCGTTAATTCGAAACATTTGTTACTTTTTTCCTGATTGTAGAAATGTAAAAAATATGCAAAACACTGCAGTATAGTAATTAACTTTGTGCAAAATTTTACAACATTTAATTCGCCAAAACGTCTAACATAACAAGGAACCACTGTACGAATCCTTTATTATCTTTCGTACAGTTGTTCTCGAATTATTAAACTTGGCACCAGCTTAAATCAACATCTCGATTTCTTCATCAATTTCCCATTTAAATCGTCGAAAGCGTTCATAAAAGTCGACGGATAACTCATTGTCAGACAAATTACTTGAAATTTAAAGAAAAACTATATAACGAGAAAACAGTTCAATTATTACCTTAAATATTTAAATAAAGTGTTACTCAGAAATGTTACTGATTAACGCTAACAAGATTGACCCCAATATACGTGTATTAATATAAAAGTAATTATTTTTTTTATTATTTGTATGATTATTTTTACAAAAGCTTGCAAGAGCGTCCCTTATAATTACAAGAAAAATTTTCTGTTAACGACAATGTCGAAAAAACGATAATTCTCTTGAACTTATTTATTGAATTTTCGAATGTAAAAGAAATAGACACAGTATTGATCTAATTCCAACGAATGAAAAAATTCTAAATCCAAAAATTTAAACACATTTAATTTCATATTTGGCATACAAAGTATTCACATTAATCAAAATTGACCAGATTTCTGAAGTAGACCTCTGAATTCAAATCTTTAGTCAAACCGTAAATGACTGAACATAAGCAATTCCACGTTCCACTCTCAACGGCACAGACATCAAAAATTACCAAATTCATTTTAGTCATTTTTTAAATGTTAAATATGAAACTACCATTCCATCCATTCCAATCGTCTTTAAACACCAAGTTCACCAAAATATTATCCACTTCGAACTTCAATTTTAAATTGCAATATTTAATTCTCGAAGCATCAAAACCAAACTCTAACCCTTTGAAAATCCTACCCTTCTACACTCGAAGACTTCGAATCCTACTTTCGAACTTGCCTCAGCTCCAGAACGCTTCCAAGAGGGCCGTTTCACTCAACGGCGTTGCTAAAGATGCTTCGATTTCCTAACGCGCAACCCAAACGACCTGTCGAATATCAATCAGCATATTGCATCAGGACCGCAGGTTGCATGTAATTCCACGGGAGCACGTTGTGAAAACGATTTCTCTATTTTTACACCAACCAACGACTCAACTTCAACGGGGAAGACGTGACGTTTTATTAAATTCCTCACTACGTTAATTCAGTTAAATTATAGAATACCATGTATCGATATATATCTTCATAACGACACGGTCAGATGTTTAAAGGCTGGGAACTTTAATACGATCGAATTTAATAGTCGGAGATCGGTTTTGGAAAGGACGATGGTAGAAATTAGCCAATTTTGGACCTGGCTGGTAACGAAAATTTCTTACATGACATGATTCTACAGGTTTTAAGTTATAAAACATACAAATGAGAAAGTTATAAAACATCAGTATAAACTTCGGAATGTCGCCGTTAGTAAAACTCACCTGATTAATCATCATTATCTTCTTCGGATGATAATCCGTTAACAAAATAATCGTTTAGGAAATCCGCTGGAAAATTCATCGTAGATTGGTGTTGAGCATAGCCAAAAAACTGCAAAATTGTGGTAACAACAACCCATAACCCGTTCACCAACTTTACATCCGCATACATATGTGTCCAATAATAGAGTCTAGTCCATTTTTAGTTTTATTCAGCAGCACGTATACACAGTGTTTTATAGTATTTGAATGGCATGAAAGTATTTGTGTTTTAATTAATATAACATTATTAGGGTTAACGTCTATTTAATAATCGCGACAATTAATAGTACAAGATATTGATGCTATTTGGAGTTCAAAATCGCCGTTTTCATTTATGTGGTCTGCATAGTAACCAGGAGCCTGTTTCAGTTGATACGCTCCACATGTATAGAAATATAATTCATGGATTGACAATTGAGGGAAAGATAGTAGTTCGGTGGTTTTTATACGATAAAAGAGTGATCTGCGTATCTACAAGTTTTCATTCCGTACCAATTTAGTTAATCGGTTGGTTTCGTTGCATAGCATTTTATTCACTATGATTCGATCAAGTTTTGACGTGATTGTTGGTTCAAATGTGGCATTTGGTAATGAACATACGATTCTTAAATCTTCAAATAATGTAGACAAAATGATATTATTTATTGTCCGGTCGAAGTATTTGAAACATATTCTTTTTAACTTTATTATTTATTTTCTGCTAAATATATATTTCATTCCAACATTGTCTGCTGTCGCGAGTATGAAAATGGTGAATAAGTTGTCAGTTACCGCTCCTATATTACGACAATTTTATACTTTTTTAAATATGCTAAACATCAATCTACGATAAACTTTTCTAGCTGATTTCTCGAGTTTCAATTATATTGTTAACGGCTTATCATGCGAAGAAGATGATGATGATTAATCTGATGACTTTTTTTATAACTTTCCCATCTCCAGGGCAAATGATTATTTATTTCGGATTCCTTAAAACCTGTAGAATCATAACCTGTATAAAATTTTCGTTGCCAACCAGGTCGACAATTGGCCAATTTCTACCGTTGTTCTTTTATGATGCTCGATTTATTGGGGAGTGTCCTTTGCTGAAACTTCAATATCTGATTGTGAGAGTCGTCTTTAAGTTTTTCAGTACTTATGTAGGAAGGACCTCTACTCGTTAGTAGACTTTGGATTTGACTACGGTCTCCTTGGTCCTTGAAATGATTCCTTTGTCTAGTAAACAGTTCTCTGTTACTCGTTTTGTCATTTTGCGTACGAAAATTTCTCGGTTTTTATGAGGAATAAGTAAATAAGTAAAGTCTCTAGAAGAAAAAATATTTGACTATAATATGGCACCATCTGTGATTCCTCAGGGATCTTTATTCTTCATGAAAAAATCGAGTAATTCTTATGAGTACAATTTTCCTAAACATATCCATATTTATTTTTGAGTTAGCCATCCAGTTTTAAACTGTTAATGCCCGTGGTCGTGGCGATGAACATTCGAGCTTTGTAGATGTTTGCACGATGTTGTGCCGTCTAGATACACTGGTTCGAAGGACCACCCAAATGATTGGGACTTGTAAAAACTGATCTATTTCTAACGCGTGATGTGAGCTGGTTCCTCCTTGGTTCTCCTTGTTTGTGGTGGTTGAACGACTACTCGACGACTCAACTCTCCGACGTCGCGTCTCGAACGTCCGTGAGAGGAATTTTTGTTGGGACACGCTGATTGGTTAATGGTTAACGATTGCATTTGCCAATCGGCGCGTCTAATATCGTCTTTACCGCCCTTCCAGTGCGCCCTGAGCGCACTGTCACTTTGGAAGGGTGGGAGACGGTCGCGAGGGGTGGGCTAATGGTCCCAAAAATCTGGAACTTCCTCCGGGTGACTAATCGGCAAGTAGACCGTTACATACAGATGTGCCGTTCGGAAATTCGTGGTTTATGGTATGTTCGTAGGTTATTGAGCGCGAGGGACACAAATTACTAAAAATCTAGCAAAGCAATTCTAGTGACCCTCGGAGGATGTAATTAGGCCCGTGCAAGCAATAAACGAAAATCCTGAACTCAAAAATAACCGTTCCCGGTCGATCGTGCCATAAACCGTTTCTACAGAAAACCTAACATAAACTGTAAAGGACAATCGTTCTATTTAAAATAATTGAAGGATTGCATAACACAACGTTGGAAGTACCACAATTTCGGAAACTGAGATAACAAGTTCACAACGTTGTAAGTAAGCGGGATCGCCCTGCTCCACGATATCAATTGAGATACCGCAGCGTTACTTCTTAATCGCCAAATCTAGTCATTGAAAATCGCCTCGATCTGAAATTTCTTCTGGCCATAGTTTGTAGAATTTTTATGTTATTTAGAGAGTTATGGCGGAATTCCCTGCTGCTTCGTCAATAGTACGCTATTTACTTTGTTTGTCGCTACTAAATTTTGTAACAAATCATTTTGTAAACAAAGTTTTAAGAATTATTGGAACTTCGTCATCATTTTTCAAGAGAATGATTGTGTTGCGACCCATGGTTCCTTTCACAAAGTTGGTTCTCGGGATGAGTAGAACACAATTTAAGAATAAAAAATTGGTTTTTTTTTACCTTGATTTTCAAGGTCAAGATCAATTTCTTCTGTATAACAACTTCCATCAAATCGTGGGTGTAGAATCGCGCTATGGTGGCCGCGTCATATAATTTCTTGGCACCCTGTACATGATTATTGTTGAGCCTAGTACTCCACAAGGAGACAAAATTTTTTTAAATAACAAATATTATATGAAAAATTACTTTGTACCATTACTTTGTAAAATTACGTAGTAAAAATTTTACTGTAAATAATTCCCACCAAATACTTAAATATCGATACTTATGAATTGTTGCATTTTACATTATAAATTTACATAGATTGACAATTCTAATGTGGATTACGCTAATTGGTACGTTTCCACGTCTTTGTTATAGAAGTTGAACATGATAGCTGCACATTCGACGGAAATACACAACACCGACAGTATAGAAGCGCGTGTCACAGAGCACTTCACCTACTTACACGGTATTCTTCAGAATTTGGAAAGAAAAATTCTAGATTCGTTGCAGGAGCATCGAAGCTCGCACATGAAGAACATAGACGACGTTTTCACTCAACTGAAAGAACATGAGTATCAGTTGCAGACTGCACGCGTGGTAAGAATTCGAAAATTAAACAATTTTCCTCCTGTGCCTTGTAAATCCAAGAAGATAAACCCAGCATTAATGATTAACCCAGAAATCGTATTACTGACAATGAGACACTTTTGCAGCAGTGTAATGCAAAAGTATGTAGCAAAACATACTTTTGTTTCCAAAAAATGAAGATTAAAGTAATTTTAAAGTGATTTTATTAATTAGATACAAGAACACGTTGCATGAAAGAAAATTATTTAACAAATGAACGCTATTCGTCATTGAATAATTACTAAATTATCGTGTGCAAATATTGTGTAAAATATTTGTATTGCCTACATAAACTTGCACTTTACTAAAAGTATAATACAAACTTTGTTTAAATGACGATTCGATTTGATAATTTGGTTCAATTTTTTCCAAAAATATTAGCAAAATTTTCAATAATAATGAAGTATTATAATCCATGTGTTAAACAGTAATAAAAAAACCTCATTTTAAGGGAAGCAACAAATTTTCTAACAATTTATTTTGTTTTATATTTATTACAGTAATGTAATATTAAAACTTCGAAAACCTTAATTTTTCTGTATGACGATTAAATCATTTTATTGCTTTAATACTTCTAATAAGTGAAATTTAAATGACAAATTAATATAATTCGCGAGAAGCGACGAAAGTTTTTTAATTACAAATACCTCTAATGATCATCTCGAATTCCAGTTTATACAAAATTTTTATTATTTTTTTTAATCGCTTACCTGACATATCGTTTTATGCGCTTCATTCGTCAATTGAATTATGTCTGTGTTTTTAGAGAAAACACTACACGCATAATTTCTGCTTGATTGGTAGGTGCAATTATTAGTCCCACGGGGAAGTTCGCTTTTACTCATACGATGTTTAACCTTTGTATAATAAACAGGAATACCTGCACTTGTGTGGCATTAAAAAATCCAATACAATTGAGTGTAAAAATGTTAATTGGCAAACTTTCGATTTAATGATCGGAGACTATGCACGATTTGCAAAGAATCACGCGTGACAAATCTTTTCAAAAATCGATGAACATTACAACAAATTCGTCAATAAATGTTAACTAACAAATAAAAAACTGAAATAATTGATTCAGGTAATAACATCTATCTCGGAGAATCTCGACAAGATAAACCTTCAGCAGGTGATGCCGAAATTGAAGAAGTTGATTGACATTCCTTGCCATGTAGTATTAAATTCCACTCCAGACAACGAAGAAATCAGGTAAGCAATATTTAACATTTTTTCAATAAAAATAGAAGTTTACTCGAACAAGTGTTAACTATAATTTACAAAGAACAAATCAGAATCACCGTCTGAAATTAAATAGTAGCTCAGATTAATTGAATCAATTCATTAAAAAAAAAGCATAAGTCCAAAAATTGTAATTATGTTGGAATAACAGAAAACACTTTTTCACCAAAACTCTGATATGTTGTGTAATGTTTTTATTATAGGTATTTCAAAAAATTGATATTATACATATTCAAACATTAACTTAAGATAATTCACCAATAAATAAAGGGAAATGGACTGTTAGGTTTTCTGTAGAAACGGTTTATGGCACGATCGAAAAGAAACGGTTATTTTTGAATTCAGAATTTTCGTTTACTACTTGCACGTGTCAATTACATTCTGGCGAGGGTCGCTAGAATTGCTTTGTTGGATTTTTAGTAATTCGTGTCCCTCGCGCTCAATAGCCTACGAACATACCATAAACCACGAATATGTAACGGTCCGCTTGCCGATTAGTCACCCGAAAGGAATTCCAGATTTTTGGGACTTTCCGCCCACCCCTCGCGACCGTCACCCACCCTTCCAAGGTGACTTGGTGACTTCAATTATACACACGCTGAAAATTTCGTCGAAATCGGTTAATGTTGCTATGAGCTACAAACGGTTAAAGATTATGAAAATCGGCGTAAAACTGTAATAAATCTGCAAATCCTTACATCTTTCGATGCCTGTCGCTTGTTTCTCCATCCACCGATTTTGATGAAATTTTCAGCGTATGTATAATTGACATAGATCTACAAAACGTATTTTTTCGATTTTCGTTACGAGCTCAGATAAAAAAGTTGTAAAAACGACCTTCGCTATTTTCTTCGCGATTCCGACTAATTGCAGTTGTTTCGAAAATTTATACAAACGTCGGAATGACGACAAAAACCCATTTCTCTAAGCCTTATAAAAATAGCGGTGCAAAGTCAAATTTTCTTGATAGCGATCGATAACCGAGAAGTCACGTGTACGCTTGTTCACGATAGCACGCGGGTGAATCTCAGTTCGCCCGTTCCTGAGCGCGGGCTCCACGCGCGCTCTCATTGGCCAGTGTTTCTCGTTAATAATTCAAAAACAAAGCTTCAAACAACATTTTGGTCAAGGAAAAAGTTGTTCAGAGTCACCCCAGCAACCCCCCATTTCCGGGTGTACGGAAATTTTACGCTCTTTACGGGACACCCTGTATACACAGAGTTTCTTTTGTTCTTTACATTTTACTCCTGTTTTCTGGATGATTTCATTCACAAGAAGTAACAGTGGTTATATGCATATACAGGGTAGAGCAGATAAAGTGTTACAAGCTGTTTTCTCTGAAGCCATTGCTGATATCAACTAGAAATTTTCAGGTTAGGTTTTTCAAAAAAAATGTAGGGTCGATTCCACAAGTGTCAGTAAAATGTAGAGTCGGCCTGCATCCACGTAAAAAAAAAAAAAATGTAGTGTCGATTCCACAAGGGTCAGTAGTCTGTTTACTGTCACTAGTGGAATCGACCCTACATTTTTTTTTTTTTTTCGTGGAGGTAGGCCGACTCTATGTGATAAACAATTGACAACCAAACGGTGGCTCTCCCTCTACATTCGACGGATAATGTGTACAGATATTTAATGTAATTTTTTAGCAATTTGTTTTTGTAATTCATCCAAAGCGATATATTATGAAATTAAATTAATCACTCAATAAGTATTAACATTAGATTGTTTCCTAGATACGGCCATGATGGTTATCAGTGACTGGAGTGCCTCAAATGTTTAGAATGATTAAAATAAAATAAATGTTGTCAACTAAAAATTTTGAACGTCATAGCTAGCTAGACATTATTTTCAACTGAAAAAAAAAAATTATAAAGCATAATACTATAATCCTATGCTTAAAATGTATTTTCTTGTGGCCGCCTGACAGCAACCTGTAAATCTGGCGTGACAGTGAACGTGTTAATAAGTAAATGTTGTTCAAATTATGTCGTGTTTTATGTCATTTTCATCAGAAAAATCTCATCAATATGTTAAGAAAAATTTCAGGATAAAAAAACGTAAAATTAAAAAAGTTGATATTTAAATCGCTTGGTTGCCTCGACTCTCGTTTCATGCTTATCTTTTATTCCCTGTCCTTGTCTACATTCGGCAAACTACAAAGGCGGACGCGAGGCTCGAAAACGTAGTCCCTGACTCTACGAGTGTCAGGTTTAGCTTCCTTGCGGTCTGACACTTGTGGAAAATATACTGTATATAGACAGTATGTAGATGGTTCTAATTGGTGGTTGTCGTATGGAAGTGGAAAAGTGTGGCGTGGTCTGATTGGTCGACCGAAGATGTGTTTTTTTGGGGACTCAATTTGTTATAAACAAATTTGATTCCCAGTAATGGTATGTTTTATGGCTGATGCCATTGTTTCGTCGAGGCGCTGACTATGTAGTCCGAACTGACTAGTTCGTAGCGGTTCGATGGTCGTTCGTAACCCCGATCTGGCGGCAAAATGTGAGTAACCCGTCTATTGGGATAATCCGCCAAACCGAGGCTTCGTTACGATCCCGAGGTCGCCACAATATATATTGCTTCAAAGGGAATGCAACCCGATTTTGCTTCGTGTCGAACTAACAGAGTAATGTTCTGACAAAAGACTGACAGAATAACGATCTAATTTGTGACTGAACCCCTAGACCGTCAAAAATCTGCTCTCTATATTCTTCAAAAAACTGTAACTTTTGGTGGTGTGAGAGACTAGATTCCGTGGGAGAACGGAATATGCTCACTTCGTACCCCTTTCGTTATCCAGGGGGTGCGCAATAGACTAAACATCCGGCGCCGCCGTTTCGACTAGGCTGCGTACATAACCGCAAACACGTTTCAGTTCTGTTTCGTTGCACATCGATCGATCTGGCCCGATATTTATCGCGCGATTTCTGCGTTAAGATGGTCGAACAACAGAGTCGGAACCTCTTAACAATCTTGCAGCTCCATACGGAACAGGGAGGTTTTCGACACAGTGAAATCCAGAACTTTTGATAAATCAAAATCTCCTGCACGTATTCAACGATTTATTTTCCTCGACACCGACGATGGTGCGGAGTCGGATAAATCCTCTGTCGTTTATATTCGTAAGCAGCTTACAAATGTCCAAACGAAAAGAGAATGAAAGACTTGTTTGCGCGCGTGCGTGCGTGCGTGCGTGCGTGCGTGCATGCATGTGAGAAAGGAGGTGCACTCCAAGAGTGTAAAACTAATTAATTAAAACGGAATGTACCTACAGTTGCGTTTTAAGCAGCTTCGAAATATTCTTCTCTTTTAACCACCGGAACAAATACCGCTTTTTTTCTATTTTCCGCTCCAGTTTCAACGAACCAAAGCAAATCGTCCTCTTCTTGCTCTGGATGCTGTTTGATAATTCGATTAGATTCTTAACGATTTTTTCTATCTTCAATTCTGGATATTTTCTACAAATTCCTAACTCATTTCATGCTGTAAAAAGATTAAGTTTCTGCGAAGCTTTATAAGAAAATCGGAAAAATTTATATAGACTGGAATACTATATTGTATAAAGAGGGAGATACAAATTCATCTGTATTTAACCCTCGGAGTACAGGCGGTAGAATCCGCTGTCCAGGACTTCTCTGACCCACACGAATTTTTCACCAATATGTATACCGCGTAAGCTCGAATTTCTTTCCAACATTTATCTTATCTACTTTATATTATAAGTAAGTACATTTAACTTTTCTATAGCTAAGGAATGTAACAACAAGTTATATTATTGGAAATACCCCGAGCTGAAAATAGTGTTCTGCGGACCACCTACGGAATATCACCATAAACAGCAGATTTTGTTTTCACTCTGTCGAAGCGTTTGTTTCATAGCGGATAGCAGTCTGTACAAAGCAAGAAGCCATCTGGCGTGCTAATACGTTTCATGACACACAAGCTATAATAGAAAGATGTTTTTCAAAAAGTCTTTTTATTCATTAATCCCTTGAGGAACAGTTTTTTTTTTTTTTCCTAAACGTCGTGTACGACCTCAACAGCCATTTTTCCGTATCATAAAACGTAAGTTTCTAAAGGGCTTCGCAACCGAATCACGGCAGCCCCTACATGGGTACACCGCGAGTCCCAGGCCTGGCAACAATTTCCGTTATGGTTCTAAATGTTCAAACAAGGAAGACCTTCACCCCCACACGTTATCGCCTAGTCCACATGGAGCGTGTCACGGGCACATGGATAGATCAATGGCAATTGGGCAAAAACACCATTGGCTAATACCGACAGTCAGTCGGTGAAGAAATATCCATATTCAGAGCTTTCCCCCTTTCCGGGAAGCTAATCTTACGAGAACAGTCTTAAACCAACAGTCTTAATGCAGAAGTCTAAAACAGTGAGTCTCAGTCAAAACACCAAGTATCAAACATCCAGTCTGACAGCGTCATTCGCATTACTCGTTATTTGTTAAAGTTCACTTCTAAATACATATAATTACTCAAGTGTTAATTCATTTCGACATAATCATCCTCACCTCAATAACCAGTGGTAAGGACTCGCCTAAATCCGCGGCGCGGTAAAAACTAAGCAGAGATTTACGACCTCTGTTAGACTTCGGTTCTCACCGCAAGTCTCGTCCCGGACGCGGGCGAACAAATAGGGTAGGGGCAAAATTACTCCGACGCTTCTAGATTCTCGCAAATGTATGTATTTTCTACAAAACTGTAGTCGCGTGATCTAAGCGTCGTTCTAACTACTGTCGCGTCGCGCTCTTTTGTGATGTTCAAAAACTCGTGTTCGCGACTGTTACCCACCAAATTAATCTTGGATAACTGATTGGATAGTAGAACGTGGCCGAGCGCAAATGGTGAAGTCTCGATTCTAATGATAGGCTCTGATGTGTCTTCTCGAACAGCTGGAGATGTATGTGTGTTGTTCGCTCGAGAGAATCTTTGCGAATGCTGCTCGATGGCCGA